TATTTGATCTTAAAATCTTAACAAGTCCAGCAGCTAAATTCTGCTTTAATTCTACGGTTGCAAAAAATTTATTCATAGAAACTTTAATCTGCGTTTTATTATCAATTCCGAGCTAATCCTCATTCTTTTTTTCCCTTTCCTTTATAATCTTATAAACATAATGAAGATGATCAAAAAATGTTTACACGTAAAGTGTATGCAGACAATGCAACAGAGCAGAAGTGAACAAAGGTAAATTAGATGGAATTTTTTTTTCTTTCGTCTGGATAAAAAACGCTGAAATATGAAATTTACAGTCAGTCAGAAGGGAGCAAGAAGAAACGAGTATATATCTCTCTTTTTGACTCAAGTAAAGCTATTTTTAAATTAGGTAGAATAGTTCTTTGTAATTTTTGTCTGTGTGCTGAATTGATAAAGTTATTTTAGATAGGGATTCAGCACAAAGTATTATTTTAATGACCTTATTAAGTAACTGAATTTGAAGCAGGAGAAAACAAGAGAAAAGTTCACTGTATAATTCGGTATATGCTGAGCTGCACTGACTCATTAAGGTTTGCAGCATAACAACATGCTTGTCACTTCGACTACTGTTAAGCTGATTGATGCTGCTTTGGTACGATTTTGGATAACTGAAGAAACAAAATATCTGTATGATGGAGAAGTTGTCATCTCTATCTGAGTAACTATCAAGCTTCAGTTCGATTCCCATCGTAAAAACTGCTCGAAAACTTTAAAACTTCTATATAATAATGACCTAAGGAAACCCTAATGCCTTGAATAGTAGACATAAATGCAAATATATTCATCATCTAGATTATGTCTTATCATAGATAAAAAGTATATTTCAATCAGGTTTTTCTTTTTCGTAAAGTGACAAATAGTTGTAGTTGTATAGAAATAATGAAGAAAGAGCATGTAGAAATTTATGCAAATCAAAATTCATCTATTTATTTAAACCAGACATTTATTTGCAATACTTGTGCATTCACAGCATGATTTTTCTTATTACTGTTGATATTATTACTTTTATAGAGGAAATGAGAGAAGGAATAAGTATAAAAAAAATAGCAGATTGTGAATTTTATGTTTATGGTTAACAGAAAACGAGTTGCTTCTTTTGGCTATAAATATATGCTATACATATTATATGAATGTGTATGAAGAGAAAACAAATTCATAACTGTTCTTCATTTCGTAATATATTTCATATATATACTGAATGTACATTCTCTCCTTCTTGATTCTCACTCTGCTTACTAATGCACAACATCCTTTCAGGCCTTGAATACACTTTCAGAAAGCAAAAAAAAAATGACAACATAAAGCATCATCAGCAACAGTAAAAGAAGACTTGCTTTGCTTGTTTTCTTCTTCATTTAAATCAGCTATGTATTTTTAGGGTAAAGAAATGCTGAAGGTTTCTTTTATTCTTCTTATTGTTTATCAATTACCTTCTGCCTTCTGCTCGGCTTTTTATTTCGCGTGTGTTTTTTTGCTCTGCTTCTTAATTCTCTCGAAAATTATACATTTTTTGTGGTCAGTTATACAATGGTTCTGAGATTTTAGCAATTTCTGAGATGTACATTAAGAATAAACTCTCATTTTGCTCTCTGTGTAGCTTTGAAATGCGCTTACACGAACATTCATTTGAGTTTACCTTTGTATCATTAATAATCACACTGATTCATCGATAATATGTATGAATTTTTTTTTCATTCAATTCTTCGGATTTGAATATTCATAAACTATCTAAACATCCTAACAGTTCTTTGAACTTATGCGAGTGGAATATTTTCGGTGATTTGCTTAAATGATTTCATGAGAATTTTAATACACTTATTATAATATTTCCACTGAAGATGCTTTTAAAAATATTCCATAGCTGCAACCTGTTAATTTTTTTTGTGTCTAAATGAATTTTTTGCTGGGACAGACAATGCTGAGATTAGATTATGAAGAAGGTTTTGCAATAGTGTTATTTGCTACAGAGCTCGAAATCGACTCAAGATTTTAATCGATTTTGTATGATGGATTCGACTGCATGTCGACTCAACTCCATACAAAATTTCGTCGACTTCGAGCTCTGGTTTGCTATATATGCAAAAAAAAAAATTGTGTCCCAAGATTTTATTCAGGCATTAAAGTTATGAAGGTTTTAATATCAACCACGACTCAGTATTGAGTTATAAATTTTAAACTGAAATAATTTGTAAGATTCATGAATCATTCACCAGAATCTAGCTACACAACTTTTAATCCTACCTAAATTACTCTTTTGTCTATCACGTGAATGTATTGCCGAAAAAATTCATGAATAGAAAAAAATATGCAAATTAAAAAAACTTTAATTATGTCATAAAAAAATCGATTGATTTGTAGGAATTGAAATACTCGCGATCATCAAGAATTCCGATCATGATTTTAATTAGAACTTCAAATTTGGACTTGTCCATTTATGACGTCTGATGAAAAATAATAAATTTTTGTCTTTAATATTCTCAGACAAGAATCACATTTGAATACTGGAAATGAAGTAATTTATTCTGGTTGAAAAAGCAAGTGACAATTGAGAAATTGAGTGACAATCATATTATCGCTGGCATTTAATTTTTTTCTGCGTCCCTCAAGTAGCAAATCATTGTGTGCAATTATATTCGAACTCGAAATTGCTGATGTACCAGATAATTGGAAAAAATTAATATATAGTTATGTGTCTTTTAAGTATAAGTTATTGCTGTCCCGAGCAGTGAAAAAAGGTTTAAAAATATTTATAGAGGTTTGTGATTTCGCGATAGTCTTGGGGACAGTCTAATGATTATGTTAATAATTTGCAGAGGATTTTTAAAAAGTATGTCGTCATTTCCATTGTTTTACCGTTACGTAATTAATGAACGATTCACTGTGTCATCGACATTAGGAAATATTTCTTAAGGCTTTCTGTTCGAGACATAAAAAGACAATAAAACATTCTGAATCATTGTCCAACCGGTGACTAAACTAGCAGCATTAATCCGATCCTAAAATTTATTCGAGGTCATTCGATAGTGATGTCTTTAAATTTTGTCTAGACTTCGTTGCTTCCTCCATTAGATTTTAATATTAGAAGCATCATTTTTTATTAAACTCCTAAACCTAGGGCTCCTTAATATTACTTATCATTGATGAATTAATCCTAAAAGTTTCAATAAAAATTCCAAAAATCAAGCATTTGCATATACATGTAGAGTCGTTAAATTGAAAAAGCATTAAAACTCAATCCATTCAAGATGCATCGCAATTCGAATAATCATTTTGACAGTATATCAATGAGAGAGCCTTACAGCTTCAACATTTCTCAAGAACTTCACACAACCTTAATAAACAAGTCAAAATGAAAGGGAACAATTTATGCATTTCTTGACATTTTATTGTATTAAGATCAAGAGAAGCTTTCCATTATTTTATTTATCTTATTCCATTTCAATTCGATTAATTTCAATTACACGAGTTGAATATTGAGAGATAGACAAATTACGAAATATTCCTTTAAATAAATAAAACTATGCCTCGGATAATGCTTTATTGCTTTCGCCTTGCATTGCAATTTACATTTATCGTGTTTAATGTTTTTTATGTTTTTTAAATTCCACAATCACACAAATTGTCAACAAGCATCTCGCTTTTTCGATTTACATAAATTTATATTTTCTTAATTAATTTCATTTCTTTTCTTTCGATTTTTGATTTCTTAAAATCTCTCAATTTTGGTCCCGTTGATTTACGAAAACAATCACGAGTTTTTAATTTCACTCAATTGATGGATTCTCTTTTTCTATCCCGGTTACACAAGCAAGAAGAAGAAAAATCAATTCTCTCTCAATTTTTGAATTTCACTGATTGATTTAAATGTGAACGGCGTTGACATGCTTGTCAAAATTGACCGAGAGCAAGATGAGAAGAATAAGAAGAAGATGATTTGTAGTAATATAGTCAATAGATCGATATTTTGGAATTAAAGTTTGTAAAGTTTGTGTCAGTTAAAAATTAAGAGATGATCATGGTTCCTTTAGTCAGTTGTTCTTAAAATAACTTTTGTATTAAATGACCTTTAACATGCAAGAAATCGACACTGATGGCGAACTTGATAATATCCTCAATAAAAAAAGATGTCAGTTTTGATGCTCACTGCTATGAAATTTTAAAGAAATTTCATTTGGATATTGACGATTTAAGCCCTTAATGACTTAATTAGCTTTCAAATGATGGGCCCTTGCCGAAAATAAATAAAATTGTGAATGCTGCCATTTTGTGAATGTGAATCAAAACTTTTCCTTAGGATAATAGAACTAAGGTATGGACCTTTTAAATGATTTTTTGGAGAAAGTAAAGTTTTCATGTACAACCACCAACACAACAAACTATCAAAAAGATATGCAGCTTCGAAATTTTTGAAGAATTACTCACGGATCCCACACGAATGTTTTAATTGATAAATTCAATTAACTGCAAACAGTATCTGATATGAACTAAAGATCAATATTAATGAACAAGTTCAATTTAAATTTCAATTAATTATTTAATTTAAAACTTTGCAAAATAATAGCTTAATACTCATTGGATCTACTTTAAGCATGAGAATAATAAATAATTTGTTCTGGTTTCTGTCTACAAATTTTCCGCTTAATATCACAAAAATAAAAAAAAGAAGCATGCCTTTTTACACCACCTGAATACCACTCAAATTCTTCTTCATTGCTTCAATGTGTATACAAATAATGCCAAACAATTTCAAGACTCTTTTTTTCAAGTAAGAAAATATTTCTCATATTCAAATCACGTATTGGTTCTGCATTTTTTAAAAACAAAGTCATTGGGATAAATATTTTCGAGTATAATCACTTATCGACATTTCTCATCCTTTCCATTCATTTAACTGATCGGTGAGCTGGCAAATACGTATTTATCAATGAAATATCACAAAAATTATTTCATGTCAATAACAACATGATGGAATTAATCACCTTTTATATACCTCACTTCACTTTAAAATTAGTACAAAAAATTTAATGTAAATACTTTTGCACCGAATATGGGTCTATAAATAAAAGTTCCAGTTTGATAATTTCACGCTCGAAGAGTTGGATCGCGACTAAACTCGCGAGCATTGAAACAATCGTCTTTATAGAATACACAAGTAAAAAAATTCACTTTAAATGAGTAAATGATCGAGTAAAAATTAACTCACTTATATGTTGAGAGATACGAACACACACAATCTTGGAGAATAAAAAAGTCAGTTTACTGCTGAGCGGGAAAAATGTAAATAAAAGAAGTCGCAAAAATAAGCGTGTATGCTCAGCTAAGCGCCGCGCGATGTTGCTTGTATTGATGATGAACATGTGCTCTTTGCCGACTGCATATTCAGTCATCTATGAAAAGATTTCTTCTTCTAATCTCTTTATTCGCCGGGTATAAATTTTCCTTCTTTTTATATCAGTTCTGCACACATATAGGCAGAACGAGTGAGAGAGGCATTTAAGAAACTATTGTGAATGTGTGCGGTCTGTTTTTTGCCGACTCTTTGTCTAATATTGTATATTAAATTCTGGATTTAAAACTTTATATTTTAACATGCTTAGAATTACTATAATTTAATTGAATAACCATCTAAAAGCTAGCTTTTTACTACTGATTTTAAAACGTTTTGCGATTTTTTAACTGATCATAAATGAAAAACAGATCATATACTTTTTTTTACTGAATACATTTTTGAAGCAGAACTTTTTTGCATCTTTTATACTGAACTCACTTTTGAAGCAGAACTTTTTGCATCTTTTTTTACTGAATACACTTTTGAAGCAGAACTTTTTTCGTATTTTTCACTGAACACACTTTTGTAGCAGAACTTTTTGCATACTTTTTACTGAACACACATTTGGAGCAGAATTTTTGCGTCTTTTTTACTGAACACACTTTTGAAGCAGAATTTTTTGCATCTTTTTTTTACTGAATATACTTTTGAAGCAGATTTTTTTCGTATTTTTTACTGAACATACTTTTGAAGCAAAATCTTTTCTATTTTTCACTGAAAACACTTTTGTAGCAGAAATTTTTGCATATTTTTTACTGAACACACGTTTGAAGCAGAATTTTTTGCGTCTTTTTTACTGAACACACTTTTGAAGCAGAAGTTTTTGCGTCATTTTTACTGAACACACTTTTGAAGCAAACCCTTCTTTGGTTCGAATACTTTTTGCATTTAATTTTATTGAACTCTAACTTGACAAAAAGTTTTCAAATTGCTGCACAAGTAAAGAATTTCTAGAAGTTTTCACCCAATAAGTACATTCTAAAAACAGAAGTTTTGTTTACATTTTTGCTGTACAAAGTTTCACGTTAAAAAGTAACAAAATAAAATCACTAGGTTGTCGATAGCATGACAAAATTTTACGCCTTTAGAACTGTACAAAAAAGTCAACAAATGACAAGCAAAACTGTTGGAACTACAAAAAATAATAATGAGTACTTATGAGTGTACAAATAGTTTGCTTATTCATAACGAAAAATCGAGAGAGAAACAATAAGTAATTGAGAATTTATGTAGGCTACACATATCGTTATCGCATAGTCAACATTTAAATGTGTGACGAATAAGTTTTTTTTTTTCATTCTTCTTTCCGATAGCTCCTAAATAAAAGTGGAAATGACAAACGAAGAATCGCTTTAATTGGCATGCAATATGGGTTCTAAATTATCATATTTTGCAATTTTACAATGACTTTCGTTGTCGCTATTGTTGTACTTAGTCATTAATTTAATTCTGTCGAAAGTTCAAAGCACCTACGCATGATACTATTTTAAATTGTCAATTGTGTAACTATATGTCCAAGGTCTAGACACTTTGTTATTTCGCAATTGAAAATTAAATGCGATAATTTTCTAATTCCATTGAATGAATTCTTGTTTTGGACCGAGATGATTTTTTGCAAGTCTTCTGAATCATGTTGTTTTATTTAGTAAAATAATCGGTGCTGTGGAATATCCAGTAGATGATGACGTATTATTTCTTAAGAATAAATATTGCTTATTTAGCCAAAAATGAAATTTGATCCATTCTTAAATATCATTTAGTTATCAGACAGAAAAAAATATTTGGGAATCCCGATTTCGTACCTGATTTTTTTCTTTTCGTTTACTAAGAAATTTAAGTTAAGAGTTCACGCGACTCTATGTTTGACTAGATGCTATTTTTTTGACCAAATGTTTAAAACTAATATTTCGAGTTGTGCTTATTTTAATGAACTCTGTACCCTAGTTTGTAGCTGCATTAAAGTGAGCCGTGGCACTTAAAAAAATTAGCCAACACTGATCTAGGTTAACCCAGACAACTGTTCTTAATACAATTTTTGGAACAGACAACATTTAGTCATCAACTGTTTAGATCTCAACTCTATTTGCTTAATAGAGACATTACAATACATGTAAATATTAGTAATTACAGTACATGGCAAGCTCATTAGTCATCATTTATAAACATCTTCATTTATAAATCTGATAATAGTTTGCAGATATTTCCATTACAGATGTATAGTCATACTTAATAGTAATGCAAGTATTATTAAATAAATTGTATTACAGGACAAGCTATAAAAAATTACAATTTCATGTATTACAGCTGCTTGATGAATATTTACAAGGCTCATTGTGAATGGAAATTTTATGTCATTGGTAAACTGATCTTCTGTTGCGTAACTGTCGATGAATGTGATGTTTTGTGTTGGCAACAAATTGAAAGAATTCGTGTTGCAAACGAATCGATTTGGTCACTAAATTAGAATCATTAGAACGATTAATTTTATGTGGGATGTGGGATGTTTTGAGCTGAAATGGCAGGTTCATAATTTATTGACTTTCTGCTTACAATGAAAATGTAAGTTTACCTAAGACCTGCAACGCTGACATTGATGTTCGAGATAAACCAGTGCCTCGTGTTTAATTGGACTGAAGTCGTTACTTTCAAAGCCAAGACGCATACATCTTGTTAAACCATTCCACAACCCTCTCTTATGTGAATCTATCGAGCAAATGCCAATCAGTTTAATCTTTACATCCTTTTGAAAGAATATCAAGCACATATGGACTAACAACTTATTCATTTGTCAATCTTATTTTCGCACTTTATTGAATAATATGGCAACGACCCAGGCAATTTCCACTTCGTTTAAATCAGTGTTGTCCAAACTGTGTGCCTCGGCACACTGGTGTGCTGTAGAAAATTTTTGGTAATGACGCAAGCCGCATGCTCTGTGTGACTTTGGTTATGGCTTACCCCCAAAGTGTGCCGTGGCTTAAAAACTTTGGACAACTCTGGTTTAAATCATCCACTTTATATGACCTTGACATATATTCTCATAAATTTATTACGAATAATCCTTATTAATTCCCACCTGAAATTTTCATCAACAGTTCAACGTTCCCACATATGTATAAAAGCTGCATATTTTAATCACAACGTAAAATTCTCTCGACATATTTAGATCTGAATATATGAATATCCCACGCTAGTGTGCTAATAAACAGAGTTTTTTTTTCTCCAAAATAAATAAGTGGAACTCAAAATTGATGCTATTTTTAGACACAATTTTATGATTTTTGAAATAAATATGGCAGTGAGTTTTATTTACCGGAGATAAAAACAAAGTGTACAGATGTACAGACCATTCGTTACAGACTCCATTAATGTCAATTCCTCCTCATCAGCAAAATTCTCCAGCATCTCTTTCAAAAATTGACTTCTTCTTAACGAGTGGGAAGAAAAATTCCGATCACGTATTAGGATTACGGGCCTATTAAATTGTTGAATCAATTACAATTGTACGTAAGTATTCCTTACTTTCTTACGTTGAATTAGATTTTCAAGTATCATAGGGATTTAGATAAAGGTGAGAAAAAGGTCTTCTTTATACAATCTTAACCCACTTGTTTACTCAAGGGAATATCATAGCACGATTGAATAAACACAGAAGAGACAGTCTTACTCAGTTGACTAGAATTTAATGCTCTACGCACAATCACACACATTTATTTAAATGAATTACCACAGAATTTTCTCGAATTGGAATCTAATTAAGCGAGAAAAGAGATTTTTGTAGACTTTTGCACTTTTATATTCTGTGGAAATTAAGTAGTCCAAGAAAAAGTTATAATTTTGTTTTCTTGGAAAATTATTTGCTTTTGTACACAAGTTGGGTGTAAATTGAAATTGAAAATTTTGGGATTTCTGTAGAACTTCCGATTCAAGAATTGTAAACTCTTTGAAATAGTTGCTGTTGAAACTTCTGGACATAAATGTTTCGTTCCTTATGTGACATTTAAGTGCCCACTTGAAGGATGACAATGTTTTAAAGTATCGTATATCGTTTGGAATGCTGTTATATATCTTAACTCTAATGGAAGTAATGTTTTTCTTTCCATAATTTGTCCTGGCAATAGATGGCTGCAACTGCCTTGTATTTCTTGAGCTCCTGTTTGTTACAGCACATCTCTCGATAAGAAGGTTCGTGTGAGTGCATTTGTGTATGTTGCTATATATATAGGCAGCTGTATTTATGAAGTGGAGACTTCTAATTGGCAGACAGTTTTCAACTAGGTGAGTATACATATAAATTCTATTCTCCAATCTATCAACTCCAAATATATTTCGGAGAGCTCTATTATGAATTAATTGGAGAGGTTTAATGATTGTGTCACATGCAGATCCATAGACGTGACTCATGTAATTTAAGTGGGTTTGAAAGAGAGCAAAGTAAATCTTCTTCTTCGCCACTAGTGGAATAATATTCTTTAGCTTCCAAAGTACTGCTGATGCAAAACATAATTTCTTCGCGACCTGTTCTGCATGTTCATTCCACTTAAGATTTGGATCTAAATATAGTCTCAAGTATTTGTATGAGTAAACCCTTTGTATAACTTGGTCGGAGTTTAGTTTAATCTCTTAGTTGTCATTATACGATGAATTGATGGAGTGAAAGATCATACATTTTGTCTTGGTCATATTCATTATCATCCCGTAGGATGTTAAGTACTCTAGGATAATCTTCATGTCTGATGCTTTATTTTGCTGCACATTTTTATCCTTAACATGCGAATTTATTAGCACAATGTCGTCTGCAAATAAAAAAAGGTTTCCTTTTAAGTTTTTAAGTATGCTTATTCCATTAATAAACTGGT